AAATATTTGTTTCAAAATAGAATATATGACAATATTTAAATATAATATATCCTAGACTGACAAATCATCTCCGTTCAGAAATCAGAATCGTTTTTCGTATACAATGACACCTATCATTGCATTCAAATTTAATCCCATCCATTACAGTAACCTACTGTACAGCAGAGCGACATCCACGACTTACCCGCTTTTTTTTTTGGTCATTCATATCCAATTTGTATAAAGTTAATAGTTATATATATATATTTCGGAATGATATACGCATTCTACTAACATGCAAATTGTTGTAGGTATTTTTAAGTTCATTATTTAGTCGTAGATTGATTGGCCATCCGAAAGTGGTGGAAAAAGAATAAAAATGATAAATGTAATGAATTGACGCCTTCGACTATAACTATAGGCAAGTGGATTTAAAACCTTATACTAAGGGCATTATAGAGGTTTGCTATTTCAATAATACGTCTATAATATCTCCCACATTATCATTCATCATAGCTATACATACCGGATACAAGCCCGTGGGTCTGCACGGCCAAATACTTTTGAAAACCTACATCAGGGATATTACGTGTGTTGTATCATTCAAAATATGAAGACGATAATTTTTTCCCTTCATCAACTCACTCCATATGGATACATTAACGATATATATATATATATTATAAATACAACAAAATTCATGTACTAAAAATGCTAGATATTTTTAGATTAAGAACTTCGTTATTGTTGTATTGTGGGCTCTAAAACATTTTATCATGATCATTTTCCTAATATTTAAGTTGGTATCTAGTATCTTTTGTTTGTTTTTGAGGTTCAACCGACGACGCCGYGGGAATCGCTTTCGCATTACTGCCGCGACAAAGTATCTAGTATATACTTTTTCCAATATCCATCTTTGAGATACATAATAATATGCCATAGTGGTGGGCGCCATTCGTTATTCGGATTTGTTAAATATGGATTTAGTAAATTTCACGATATATCTGGATTATTAAACTCAATTTTTGTTCAATTACTCATTTTTATATATTAATAATATTTAATTCTATAACATAATATTCGAACATAGGTATACCAAATTTCGAAGGCATTTCAATTACCAGTGATATCATAAAACTTAAGTATTAATTTATTGTTAAATTTTCATTATAATAAAATAAAATAATTTATTTTATCATACATTAAAAATAATTGTAAGTCTAGAGTCTCATAAAAAGCAAATCCATAAATCCGGATAATTCARATATTCGAATTTCATGCCCATCCCTAATATGTTACAGTTACAAACACAGTAAAATGAACAGATGGGAATTAAAATTTAAAATTATCTTAGTATGTGAGTTGTCGATAAATTAGAAAGATAAAAAAAAAATTACCTTCATCGAAAGTTTTGTATTGATAGGGGTAGGTCACAACGGTGCCCATACGATCGGCTACCTTCATGTTATCGGAAAGTTTTGTCGTTATATTATCGTTATTTATATGCGTTTATGATAATATTATGCTCGCTGGCATTCATTTTGTATAATATATAGCATGAACGAAATATGGTGTGCTTGTGTGTAATGATTAGGACACGCATTATAAAAATCAAAAAGTACCGATAAGACCGATTAAGAAAACGTTGTATTGCGTTATCGATTTGATTTTTACGCCTTGACCTTTGACACGTCGTTCCACTGCGAGTCCCGCTCTCGCAACAATACAAATACACACACTCACACACTTTGGGCGTTATAATAAATAATTTCGACTGATGTATATAATATTATACGTTTTATGTGTGTACATGAGATCTTAACACATACCTATACACACAAATATTAATATATATATATATTAAAATATCACATGGGACAGCGCCGTTTGAGTATTCTTTCTCGTTTCCCCGTCTTTTATCAAACAATATAATATTATACAATTGACATATTATTATTATATTTTTAATTTTTAAAAGCAATCTCAGATCGCGACGAAATGCGACAATTATCATTAGTCCGCTGTGTGCGATTACGCACGCGATTAGCCGTCGTCGTGTCGGTTTGAAAACGTTTTTATTGCACTCTCGGACCGCACGTAGAAACTAGTTCATAAATTATAAAATTTAAGATTTAACTAATTCATAAACGGATATGACATTGTATGTTTCTTTTTACCTTTTAAAGTTTTCTTCGCAAAAATTAATTTCTAATTATTATTATATTTTAAAAGTTTGGTGCTATACGTAAAAGTACGTTTTTTCTGTACACATAATATATATAATATGCACAGAAGGTAAGAGATATAGAGACTATTTTAGAAGTTAGATATCAGATTACATGACCAAATCGTAGATATATTTTCCACTTATTTTATCGAGTTTGAAATACCAATATAATAGTATTATAGATTAACTTATGAACAGCTGTTCGCTGCTATTAATAAAATAGTATACTATATTATATTATGCTTACTGTTTAGCATTAACATTATAAATTATAATATTCAAAATTAAAAAGTAAAAACGAAGTCGTAGATTAACATCTAATATCCTAATGGTTTCTATAAATTACACTTTATTTTAAAAACCAAGTATTATAAAATATAGAATATAATAATTAGGAATTCAGTTTACAAAATTGATAAGTAAATTTTTCGATCTCAATTCGTGACTCGTAATATGTATAATAATATTAAAATAACTTGACGAAATAGTAAAAATTATTAATAATTTACTTTAAAAGCTATATTATGTAAAAAAAAGTATTACAGTTGTGAATAAATAATGCATATTTTTACTAATAAATATTTTAATGCAATTTGGTAATTGCTGCTTAGGTATTATATCGTATATATTGTATAATATTACCGTAAAAACGCCATAACTCATCGGATTATTATTTTTCTATGCTGTCCTTAATCTTGAAACTGGATCAAATAGTGTTTAACTCAATAGAGAGAATGAATATAATATTAAAATTATTTAATTATGTTTTTATTTCGTTGAATGTTGTTTTTCATAGAATTTTAATAATAATGTCAACTATTGTACTTCTGTTACTCAGAATGTGAAACTTTGAAGTCTATGACTGTATTTTTTTTACATTAGAATATGAAAAACTTTTTTTTTTGAAAAAGTCCATTTTTTTTTTTTTTTTTTYGATACTCAGACAATTCACTTAATTTTTCGAGTACCTATTGAGTTCCTGAGTTCTTGAATCACCTTTGAAACAAACCAAAATTCTATTACATGTATATAAAATGTGCATAAATAGGTGACAAGTCAGCATAACTATAGATGACCTAATCTAAAGAACGCGTGCAACATGTCCGGTTTCCGATATTTCTTATTTAACGATTGGAAATTCACAATGATTGTACATTTTTTTTTATCGATTACTCATTTTTCATAAATTAATAGAAGTAAGCAGTACGTGTCGATTATTTTTTCATGATCTATGATGCATTGGACATTCAACGGCTCTTTCGAGGTTTTAAATTGATTAATAAAAAATATTATGCTCTTATCAATACACTTTCATTGTCTTTCTCAATCACTATTAGGTAACATGAATTATTCACTTAACCTCATTTTAAATATTATAATTACCCGGTGATTCCCAATAAACACAATTATTTWATTATTATTATTATTATTTTTTTTTTTGATAGTTTTAAAGTAAAAATAATTTTTTTWAAATAATTTTTCATTGTACTCGCCGATAACGACTTTAATCCATAAAATATGTATAACGTTATGGTTAACTCATATTAATTATAACATAAAATCATTTTTTTCAAACTGCAGTAGTCCTAAGAACATATATATTATTATGCTTAGTTTGATGTGCATTGCAAAATCTATAGCTTCATAATATAATATATTATTAGATGAGCAGAGAAGTTGTAGTCCTAAAAAGTACCAAATATTCGAGCATTTATGCACTTAAAAGCCCTATCTTCTTCTTCTTCTTCGGTTTTCAAAGGCCATTGAGGCCCATTACCGCAACACAAACTTGCTTCCATCTATCTCTGTCCTGCGCTATTGTTCCTCCATCTCGTATTCCAATCTCTGCTAAATTCTTCTCCACTTTGTCAATCCACCTTTGTTTCGGCCTGCCAAGTGGTCTTTTTCCCTGGGGTTTCCATTTTAAAACCGCTTTCAGAAGACCATTTGACCTCCATACATGACCGGCCCATGCCATTCTCCTATTTTTTAATACTGCTACTATGTCTGGCTCTTTATATAATTGTTGTATTTCTATATTATTTCTTTTCTCGTATTGTTGTGTCATGTTATTTACTTAAAAGCCCTATATTATGATTAATATGTACTTAAAATATTTTTAGCGATTATATTTAAAAGTATTAATAAAATAAATAACATACAGAATAACAGATAAAGTCGAAAAATTGTATAATTTAAATATATTTTATATACCTAATTACCAAATAAACAAACTACATTATTCTTAATTAAACCTTAACTATTTTTTATTGATTTACTTTTTAATCATTTTATATTTCTTCTTTTGGCACTAAAAAGATGTCAGTGTGAAAAAAATTGATTTAAAAAAAGTCTAAAAGAGTATAAATTGTATATAAAAGTGTAAAATAACCCTAAAATAAAAAAAAACGCAAGATATGCAAAATTAAATTTCAAAACTAGCTCTGTGAAAGCATGAAACGCATTTGTTTCGTATTCTCTGCTATTTTTGTGACTGTGCAAAACAATTTTAGCAAATAATACAAGTCCTCTGCCCTTTAAATTATTATAATATTATATGAACAAATGTAGTAGATTGCTTGCATTGGTCTTTGTGGTTGCAGAAAACGGTTACCGCGGTCATTACCATCACGATCGAATAGTGTACGTTCCGTCGTCAAAGCCAAATAATATGTTCGGTCTTGCGCACCACCAGTACAACGCACCACCGCCGGCGCCGCTGCCGCTGCCGCCACCGTCCACGGCCGGCACCGGAGTGCCAGAGGCCACCACGCACTCGTGGCAGAACGCACCGTCCCGGATACAGAGCAGTAGTCACCACGTCCCGGCTGCCGCCAGTTCGCCGGCCACCAACAGCGGTGGTGGGATTCCCGCTGGTGGACACCCGAATGTCGTCCCGATGTCGTCATCGTCGTCAGCCACCCCGCCGTTCTATCAGAGTGCCGCCGCTGCCGCAGCCGCCGCGGCCATTATGTGGCCAAATCCCACGACTGCCGCATTCCAAGCTCATCATTACGGTACGACCATATCAATTAATAGTTAATATTACATGAAATAATCACATGATGACATTTTAATGTTTCGATTCATGATATAACTAATATAGTTTGAAATATCATGATTCCATTGTTATTATTGATATTTAATATTAGTAAGTTTTTTTTTGATATATTTTTAATGCTTAATAATTATTAATTTTTTTGGCGAGTGTTTAATTATTATTAAGAACAAAGATCGATTATCGAACGCTCATAATTTTTCGACATTACTCGAGAATAACTAAGTTTGAATTCGAACATTTCAAAATATGATGATTTAAAAAGTTCGTATAAAATCGAATTGAATATAATATTGAAGTAGATGGTTTAATCTCAAAGTAAAGATAGACATGGGATTGTATAGTTATCACTGTTATCAGTTAACATCTTCTAAGACGTCCTTGCTCGTGACGACTGATGTTAACACATTAACACAGAATTTTTAATTTATTGTTACCAAACTGCTCTTTTTCATCCGTACGATTGTATAAAACAAAATWTTTTTTTTTCATATAAATATTTTATTATTCTATATTACGACAAAAATTCTATTTTATCAAAATTTAGATACAAACTTTGTTATTTTTGAAATATATTACCTAAACATAAAAAACACATATTTTTATATAGATAATTTTATATATTATTATATAGTCATCACGTTGATATGTGTACATGTAATAAAAATAATTATTAATAACATAATATAATATTGTTCGTATTATTAAATTTTTTGTTTGTATACCTAGTCATGAAAACAATTTTATCTAAACTTTCTTTAAAATGTATCATTCATGGTTTATGGTTTATACATTTYATGTATTTTTGGATTACAATATTATATATCTGTATTCGTATTTAATCAAAGAATACAGTGTTCATTCTGCTAATTTTTATATTTTAATAAGTAATTCCCTATCAAAACCTTACCGTAAAAACCTATTTAACTATAATTTAAAACTAAGATAGTATTACCTTTACTTATATGATGTATTATTTTAAATTTTATTATATTTTACTCGATAGTCATGWGTTTATATCTCATKAGTTGTAGACTTGGAAATTGATGGAAAAATTTAAATATCAAATAACATTCAAACGTATTTTATACTGTCGTAAATTTTAAACAATCAAAGAATTATTRTTATATAATTAATTTTCAATACGTTGATTAATCAAATAAAAACACTATTAAACCATCTATAGTGTTTTTGTTCTTAGACCAAATAAGAAATTTGATCATCAATAATATAATCCAAACTTCATTGTTTTAATAATGATATCACCATATTTCTTATAAATTATATAGATGTGAGTTAATAGTATTGTATATTTGCTATTCAGGTGTGTACTTGGTACGTTAATATGTAAATAATAAATA